GGGGAGAGGGGGCGGGCGGAGGCGGCCCAAGCTGCTGCCAGCCTGGGGTTCAGCACCAGAGGCAAAGGACAGCAGCGGAGGGCGCTCGCGTGTGCTTGAGTTTCAGAGACTTCTCCTGCCCCCACCCCCCTCCCCGCCCCACACAGTCTCCAATCCATACAAGGGCCAAAATATGCAGAAGCAGCTACAAATAGTTACAGGCCCCCAGAATGTTTAGCTGGAGTCAGATCCAAATTCACACACTGTGCCTGCCTACATACCCCCACAAAGAAGGTCAGAAACAACCACAAAGACACCCATTAATAATAATAACAGTCCGAGTGCAGTGGTTTATTCCTGTAATCCTAGCACTTTGGGAGGCTGAGGTGGGTGGATTGCTTGAGCACAAGAGTTCAAGACCAGTCTGAGCAAGAGCGAGAACCAGTCTCTACAAAAAATAGAAAAAACTAGCTGGGCATTGTGGCAGTTGCCTTTAGTCCCGGCTACCTGGGAGGCTGAGGCCAGAGTTTGAGGTTGCTGTGAGCTATGATACCACAGCACTCTAGCCTGAGCAACAGAGTGAAACTATGTCTCAAAATAATAATAACAGCTGCCATTCCTACAGCACTGAACACCTGCTAGGCATCCTTACAACATTTTTCTTTTTTTGAGACAGAGTCTCACTATGTCGCCCTCAGTAAGAGTGCTGTTACATCACAGCTCACAGCAAACTCTTGGACTCAAGTAATTCTCTTGCTTCAGCTTGGGACTACAGGCACCTGCCACAATGCCTGGATATTTTTTTGTTGATGTTGTTGTTTAGCCAGCTCAGGCCAGGTTTGAACCCACCAGTCTCAGTGCATGTGGTCAGCGCCGTAACCACTGTGCTATGACACCAAGCCCCTCATAACATTTTTTGTCAGCCCCTGGCACATGTTGATTCAATCAACCCTGTGAGGCAGCTGCCATTCAGACAAGGAAACTGAGGTATAGGGTAGTGAATATTGCCTTGGACTCTACACCTTTAATAGCCACATTAGATGCTGCCCTAGGCTGAAGAAGACTGGGCATGAAGTCAGGAAGTGAACTGCAAAATCCCAAGTAGGGGCCCCGGCTCACACTTACCTACAAGCACATGAGCGCGTGCGTGCACACACACATCTCTCCAGGGTGTATCCACCACAGACCCATACCATCACTAGGCTTACCCCAAACCCTACACCAGGACATGAAGTGATGGAATGGGGGGGCGGAGGGTGGGGGCCCTGCTCATGCCCACTGCCAGTCCTGACTGGACACCCTTGGGCCAGCTGCCAGGAGAGGGAGAAGATCCAACTCTCAGCAACTTCTCACGCCTGGGCCTGCCTTCTGGGAGAGGGGAGGAAGATAGGAGTGGCTAGGAACTGGTGGGCTCCTATCTTCCCAAACCCACCATAGAGAACTTGTGGGTGGGTCTTCAGTCAGTGCTGGTGGTCAGACTTATATGGCAGGAAGCAGACAGATGGTGACTGTGGTTCTTGCCAATCCTTGACTTCCCCCCCTCCACCCACCACTCCTCAGGAAGCTGATGTCCCACCCAACCCCTGCCCTGGGGAGGAAGCTGCCCTTCCCCCAGCCTGGATGCTGCTCAGGAATTAGTCCCCAACCCTGCTGACCTGGATTCTATTCCTGGCCTGTGGGTGGGGGAGGGCAAGACTTTTTTCATCATTCCCGCCTTTGCTCCCTGAGATGCAAGCCTCTGATTCCTTCTCCTGGTACCATAGAAAAGACCGCAGGAGGGGGCAATTCCTCTAGCCACAGGCTGGGAAAATTAGCCTTGTCTCCAATTGTCTGGCTGGCCAGTCCTATGCGATTTTCAGATTAAGTCTAATGTTACTTTTCAGCAATGGCATATTCTGGGACCTATCTGCTTGGGCCTTGCCTCAGGACTCTGCACTGGGATCTAAACTCAATTACCTTCTTCTGGGGTCTAACCATAGAAGTTTTGCTGGAGTTCAACATTACCTTTATTCACAGGAGGTCCAGCTTCAGATTCTCTGCTGCAACTGGACAATGGCTTTCCCATAGTGGACCTTTCCATCCACAGGATTCCCTCTGAGGCTCAACTCTCCAGCCTTTCCACTGGGATCTAACCTCAGATCTAGATCTTTCTACTGGAGTCCATCCTCCCTGTGGGGATCTAACCTCAGCTCTCTCTACTAGGGTCTAACCTCAGACCTTTCCCTTACATTTTACAATGTCTATTCCCTAGTGGTTTAACTTTAGTCTTTCTGCTAAGGACTAACCTCATTTCTTTCCTCTGAGGTCTATCCTAGGATCTACCCTGTGTCCTATTTCTAGGTATAACCTTGAATTCCTCAACCCCCTGGCCAAGTCTCTCTCCCTTCATTCTTCTAGGTGAATCTGGCACCAACACAGAGTTTGGCAGGGGTTCAACAGATGCTCACCAAACCAAAGAATGAAGACAATGTGAGAGCTTTGTTCCTCTGGACATAAATAATCATTAGCTGATGAATCTCTTGGGGAATGGAGAGGGTTGGGTAGGATCAACCCTGTTTTCAAACAGGGACATTGGGGCACAGAAAGAGGAGCGGATTGGCTGGGCTTACAGGACACACTGGCCAAAGCCAGACCAGGAACTCATAGCTCCACCATGCTTGGCGGGGGGTGGTGTGGGGAAAGCATTCTCTCCTTCAGGACATCCCTCATCAACAATTGCAGGTGAGTACCCCATGAACTGTCCCAGGTCTGGGAAGAGTGGATGGGTGGGTGCTCAAGAGGCTGGGTTCTCAGCAGGCCTTGAACCCATTCCCTCCCCCAGCCCTTGTGACTGATGTTTCCTCTGCTCCACTTGATGCCGAAGCCGGGTCAGGACCAGCTCTGAGGCCTGGATCAGGCTGTGCTGTGGAGAACAAGAGGAGGAGAAGAACAGAGCTGAGAAAGAGCTTAGGGGTACAGGTTAGGCCATGACAGGATGGCTTATTAGAATTAGGCAACTCCAGAGGCCAGGAACTTGACCAAAGTGGGAACACAGAGAGTAGACCAGTGTAAAATGAGTCTCTGTGATAGGGGTGAAGGCTAGACCCCTGGAGGAAGGCCTTAAATGAACTTCTAGTGGGAGGGACAAAGTCTTGACACAAATGCAAGGAACAGAGATTAGAAATCCATGGAAGCAGGGCGGCTCCTGTGGCTCAAAGGAGTAGGGCACCAGCCCCATATGCCAGAGGTGGCAGGTTCAAACCCAGCCACGGCCAAAAACTGAAAAAAAAAAAAAAAGAAATCCATGGAAGGGAATCGAGAAGGACCAAAATGAAACTGGAGAGAGGCTGAGGTTAGAACAAAATGAAACTAGAGAGAGGCTGAGGTTAGATCAGACAAAGGTAAGACACTAGCAGAAAAGGATAGGTCAGCAGAGCAGAGAAGGGGCAAATCATAGGGGAAAGAGGCCTGGATCAGGCTGTGCTACGGGGAACAAGAGGAGGAGAAGAATATATCACAACATAAGGGACAGAGTTAGAGCCTAGTTGTAGGGTGTAAGGTTATACCTTAATAAAAGGAACAAAGACAAGTCCCAGTGGTCATAAAAAAATGGCTTGAAATAGAATGAGGGATGATGTGATGGTTAGATCACAGTGCAAGGCAAGTCCTTTCTCCCACAGTGGAACTGGTCTCTTCCTACAGATGTAACCTACATGCTTTCTTGGGGTCTAAATCTCTCCCCTAGAATTTAGCCTATGTCCTTTGCAATAGGGTATAACCACAGACCTCTCCGTTGGTTGGCCTCAGTCATTTCTGCTGGGGTCTAACCTCAGTCTTCATCACTAGGGTCTAACTTCATTCCATTTTACTCAGGTCTATCCTCTACCCTATCCCCTGTGGTCCAAATTCAGACTTTCCTTTGGAGTCCAACCTATATCTTTTTTCCTCTGGTCTAACTTAGACCATTCTATTGAGGATCAGAATGTAGGAATGGAGCCAAGCAAAGACTACAGAGGAAGCAGCAAATATTAGACCCCAGGAGAAATGAATGAGGATCTAACCTGTAAAAGCCCTGGTTAGACCCACACCAAAAAGGACCCTGGAGTTAGACTAGGGGGAAGGAGAAGGCAAACATAAGATTAGGAAACGAAGGCACACCATATTCTAAGGCATGGGACATGGGGTATAGTGACATTGGTCAGAGGTTAGACCACGGTAGTTGGAGGTTAAACTGCAATAGAGGGTCCATGAGAATGGCTGGATGTTAGACCAGAACAAGGGTAATGGCAATGAGACAGTTGTAGAAGGGATAGAGGTAAGTAAGATCACAGCAGAAGGTTGGACGTTAGACTACAATGCAAGGGCTTGATCTCAATAGAAAGTTTAGAGGCTAGACCAAAGTGGGACATGTTCATGGTTAGGCTACAGCAGAGTGTTGAAAACTTGCTGGAGAAGGACTGCAGGTTATACCCTGCAGGGAAAGGGTAAGAAGCATGACTTGGAAGTTAGATACTCAACGGCAAGTTGGAGGTTGGCCTGCAGCTGGAGTTAAGCTGGTCAAAAATAGAGAATAGAGTCAGCAGCAGGAAGGAGAGAGCCACAGGTGGAGCTGGAGAGCAAGGAAAGACTGCAGTGGAAGGATCAAGGTCAGATAACGGCAGGACAGATCTGAGGCTAGGCTACCATGAAGGGATGGAGTTCCACAAAGCATGGGCAATGAAGGACAGAATGTAGGAAGGCTTAGGGCAGGCCAGGGGACCGGGGTAACAGCTGCCACAGCTAAGCCCCCTTCACCAGAGGGTGTCCCTGCTGTGAGGGCTCACAGTTGCAGAAACAAGTTCCTCACCTAGGAGGTGACCCCTGCCTGAAGGTAGGGCTCTTAGGGGATCAGGCTGAGACTCCTCTTGGGCCCCTCCTGCTCCTTGTCCCCTAACAGGTCTCCTATCAGAACTCACCCTCAGGAATGCAGGTGAACAATGCTCCTCCCCAGCCCCCTGCCCTCACAAGCTCTGCTTCTAGGGGACCTGGCCTGAGAGCCTGGGTTACCTGCAGGATGTGCACGCCCTTCAGGGAGACCACGGCAAGCTCCCGCAGTCCATCCCCAGTCAGGTCCACATGAGCCATGGCCAGCAGGGGACTTGAGAAGCTCCGTTGCCACAGCAGGCGGAAACCACACTCGCTGTCAGGGAGCTCTGGGTCAGGGCCCCAGAATTTGTAACAGAGCAATTCCTGCAAGGGTGAGGGGCTGATGTCACACAGCTTGACAAGGGGTGGTGGAGGGAGACAGGTAGGTGGTGGCGCCATCCCTCAGGTCCCACCTGTCCATAGGTGGCCACCAGGACTTCTGGCTGTCCATCCAAATCCACATCAGTGACCAGGCCACAGAGGACGCTGTCAAATTGGTCACTGCCAGGCAGGAGAAGCTGGTCCTCAAGGCCTCGGCTCAGCAGGTCCCTGAGGATCCCAAATGCATTAGAAAGACTGAGGTGAGGATGTTGTGCCCTCCACCCTTAGCAGCAGATCCTGAGGTAGTCACCCATATTGCTGCTTCCCTTCTCAGGTCTAGAAGCATCAATTCTCCTGTGGCCTGGACACCCTTGTCTCTGGTTTAGACATCTTCAAAGATGCAGCAGTGGGGTCAATCTGTTCACTCAAACTGTTTACCCTGTGGACTATCTCACTCCCAAATGGAAGCCCACATTTTTCCACCTGGAAATTCAGACACACTTGTCCCTAGTCTGGACACCCACACTGCCCTCATAGAGCTTGAAGAGAATTTGGCCCTGGCTTGGGCATCTTCACTGTCCACCAGTGGGTGGTGTCCCAGCGTTGGTACTTACTAGCTCATGAGAGCTGACTAGGACATTTTCAGCAATTTGTGCATCCTGTTGGTAGTTTGAAATCCACCATGGTGGGAGTATTTACACCAGAGAAATTGGTAAACAGTACAAATCTGGGCTTTTCCCATACATAGGCAATGATTAAACATTTGTCAGCACACCTAGTCCTCCCACTCCAGTCCCCATGCCAAGGCCACAACATAATCCCTACAAGATCTAGACTCAAATACTCATAATCCCCTTCCTGGCTCACAAATACCTCTACTTGTCCAGCTCTAACAAACCTATCCAAAGGGACTTGCTGTTGAGAATGACAAGGTTAGACTGCAATGCAAAGATACAAGGTTAGACCCACATGGCCCAGGTCCCCTCACCGATACACCACTGCTGGCTCCAACATGCTAGCCACGAGCACACTGTACTCTTCCTGCTGTGGCTTGTCCTTGGTCTCTGGAGAAGAAACATGAGTGGGGAAGGGGGTTCTGTGGGGGCAAGTTCCAGGTGCCTCCTCATACCTTTCCCCCAACCACCCGCCTGTGTGAAGAATACAGGTGAAATTTCAAGAAAAAGACTTAGGGGTTTTGCTACAGAGGGAGGGTCAGAGGTTGGACTACAAAAAAAAAAAAAAATAACCGAAGTCAGACAGCAGAAAAAGAAATAAGTGTTAGATGACAGTTTAACAAGTCTGAGGTTAGACCACACTAAAGAGACAAAGGTTAGATAATAGCAGAAAAGTCTAACGTTAGAGCACAGTGGGAGGAGGGTCAGGGAATAAATCAAAGTTGGGGAATAAGAGTCAAGACCAACCTAATGGACAGAAGACAGATCGTAGTTGAAGGGACAGAGGTCAGGTCAAGGAAATGAAAGTAAAGAACAGACCAGGAACAGACCAATATCTGGGGGGAGAAGGTTAGACCCTGAGTGGTAGACAGTGACAAGACAAGAAATCCTGGGGTTAGATTGTAACAAGAGACATAGTAAGCAAGCCAGAGCAGGGAGTAAGTCCAGTGAGGAATGAAGTTAGATCACAAAGGGAAGGGTGGAAGCTCAACCCTACGGTACTGGCCTAAGGTTAGACCAAAGTGGGAAGATAAGATCTGGGTTAGACCACATGGGCTGAAAGTTAAATTCAAGGCAGGTGGAGGCTACGCATGGTGTCTCATGCCTGTAATCCTAGCACCCTAGGAGGCTGAGGTGGAAGGATCCCTTGAGTTCAGGAGTTTAAGACCAGTCTGAGCAGGAGAGAGACCCTGTCTCTACTAAAAATAGAAAAATTAGCCACATATGGTGCTGGGTGCCTGTAGTCCCAGCTACTCAGGAAGCTGAGGTGGGAGGATAGCCGGAACTCAGGAGTTTGAGGTTACTGTGAGTTAGGCTGATGCTACAGCACTCTAGCCAAGGGAAACTGAATCAGACTGTCTCAGAAAAAAAATTCAAGGGGCATGGGAAAGAGGCACCCTTCAAGGCTGGAGTGGAGGGTGTAGGATAGGAGGAAGGGATGGGGGAGCTGGACACTTTGGGAGAAGGGGTGCAAATTTGGGTGGGGGGAGCCAAGCCTGCAGAGAAGCCTTCCCCACTCCTTTGCCTAGAGCTCACCCTCAGGGGTTGAGAGGCTGAACACGATCACTCGGGAGATGGGGCCATCCTGCAGGGTTGTCCATGTCTGCAAAACTTCTGTGTGGAGAGCAAGGAATCAGAGCCTTGCTCCCGGTACCCCACCAGCCCCAGCCCGGGCTAGCCCCAACCCTCACCTTGACTCTGTTGGTCCACGTGGGCAACACGGACATAGCCACTCTGACAGCCCACAGCTGAGAGGCGCCGGGATGTGCCAGGGAGGTTGTGGACATCAAGCCAGAGGACACTGGTAGGTGGGTAGACATCCCTGGGCCCCAGCCCACACCTCTGCTTCCCCAGGAGCACCCATCCCCTTCTGTTTTCTTTGGGGTCACCCCCATTGAACAATTTCTCTGAAGTCATACTGCGGCCTGATTTGTCTGAGTTTATCCTTGTTGCCCAATTTCTGTAAGGTCATCTCCCCCCACTGCTGTCCTTGAGGTTACTCCCACCACCTGATTCTTTCAGGTTGCTGCCCTGGTCCCCGCTGGCCTCTTTCAGGCTCACTCCTACCTACTGGTCAGGTTCGTGAGCTCTGGGAAGAGGTTTTCCACAGGCTGTTCCTCAAACTGATGCAGCCCCTCGTTCTGGGGAAACCAAGACCCACCCCACCCCATGTAAAGTCAGAATTCAGCCTCATGCACACCCCCCAATGCCAGCCTGTGGCAACCCCCCTCTCCAGGCACGTCGCCCCCTGCCTCACCTCCTTGTAGAGATGAATGGCCGGGTCATTCCCACTCAGGAGAAATACCGTCTCCAGTTGATCCCCAACCTGAACCCTGAAAGCAGAGAAATCCAAAACCCTAATCTGATAGAATCTGAGCGTGGTAGGATCCACGCTTTAGAACTATCCTCTTGTAAGAATGTTGCCTGTGAGAATCCTAACATTTCTAACATTTTGGGATCCAGACACTGGGCCAGGGCTAGAATCTCAGGGCTCTATCTCCTTAATACTTTATCTCCTTGAAATGCAGAAACTGGCCCTCACAGAATCTCACAATCATGGAACTGCAGAACCTCCAATCCTGGAATTGTAGAAACTTAGCATGCTAGAATCTCGCACTTCCAGTGCCTTCCCCTACTAATGTCTGCACTCAGTGGATTCAAGAATGGAACAGAGAACTCCAGAATGGATTGCAGAAACTCAGAATGCTAGGACTTCTCTAACCTAAGACTCCAGTATTCTGTAAGTTCTGTTTTCTGCTTCCTTTGAAATAATAGAACTTATAGAATTTGTCATCATGGATATTCAGGTTTATGGAACAGGAGAACACCCAAATCCTAGCATCCAGGACATTAGCACATTAAAATCTTCAGCTTCTAGGATTCTAATCTGCTAAGACCAGAGAGAGGCTGGTCAACTATGACTTACTGATCAAATCCAACCCACTGCCTGTTTTTGTAAAAAAAGTTTTATAGAAACACAGCCACACCCTTTCATTTACATGGTGTCAATGGCTGCTTTCTTGCTACAAAGGCAGAGTTCAGTAGTTGTGACAATGACTGGCTTTCAAAGCCTAATATTTACTCTCTGATCCTTTACAAAAACTAGTTTACCAATCCCTGTGCTACACCATTGGTGTTCTTGAATGGAATTTGGAACTCTAGAATGGAACTCATGTACTTTGAGATTCTTGGACCTTTATATTCTAAATGGTCTATATCCTATCTCCTCGAAATATGAGAATGTTAGGACTTTATCATTATAGAATCTCAACAAATCCTGGCTTCTATCAAACTGTAAAATGTTCAAACCTTAGAGCTTCCAACTCTAGAAAACTTGGCATCTCTGCTCTTGGAATGTCAGAATCTGGAATATTAGAATCTGGAATTCCTAGATGTCTAGAACACAAGTCCTCACTTAACTCTCAGACTAGCTAGTTCAGGAATGGCAAAGTCTGGTCTGTGGTCACTTTAAAGGCATGATGCTCTAAAAACCAAAAATAGAAACTGATTGTCTATGGGCAGAATTTCCATCTCCTGTTAGCTATAGCTTCCCAGCCTCTCACATACACACTCCTTACAGTATTATACTTGTGCCCACCTGCTCTTACATTCCCTCTCTGACCCCTAAAAGCATTTCAGTTTTCACCCCTAATTCAGTACAACCCCTTTATTTTCCAGATGGAGAAACAGACTCTGTAAATTAATCTGTAAGTAAGAAAGGCATTTGAGAACCCAGAGCTCCTATGCTTAGAGAAGGGTGGGGATGGGCACCCAGGGCACACTCACTCTGCATGGCATAGCTGGAAAGGAGTGAACTGGAGCTCCAGGTTCAGGCAGCTCTCTGTAGGGGAAGTACAGGAAGATGGGCACCAGGGACCTGCTGGGCCCCTCTCCCACAGTCCTTCCCTCCTGGTCACACTCACGGGCAATGGAGTCAAGGTTGTACTCGGAGCCAGGCTCATAGTCACAGTAGATGTTAAGGAAGGGGCTGCCCTTGTCCCCTGAATCCTAAGGAAGGAAAATGGCCTCAGGAGAGGGCAGGGGCAGCAGGAGGGAATTTAGGGTGGGCTCAGAAGGACCCACCATGCATGTAGGGAGGAAAACCAGGGCAGGTGGTGGGAGCTCCAGGTACCTTGATGAATGTGATCCCCACAACCAGGCCCCTCTTTGGGGGTGACTTGTTGAAGGTGTCAATGGAGACAATCTCTGCATCCACTAGGAGGGGAGAGTTCCAAGTTCAGGTTTCAGGCAGACTCATGACCCTGATATGTCCATTCACTGTGAGCTCTGACAACTGCAATTATCACGACCTCTGGGTCTGAGTGAGTCCTGATCACCATTGCCATGACCTCTGACCTCTGGGTACCAGTCATCCTAACCTCTAGATCTGAGGAATTCTGAAACTCTTTAGGCCCACTACTCCCGCCTCCTGACTCCAGTGATATCGGCTTTGAGTCCTTCAATCATCCTGCTCCCATTTCCCCATCATGGTGACCCGGCTCAGACAGCCTCACAAGCCTCTCAACACCTCGTCCCAGGCCCCCAGCCCCACTGCGCCACGCACCGGGGATGTAGTTGAACTGCAGCTCCTTGGCCACCGGCCGGATTTTCTGTCGGAGGTCTTGGTAGCGGAAGCCCAGCACCTTGCCTTTAAGGGTGGCGGCCAGCAGCTCCCCGCGCCCGCCGGCACCGCCTGCCAGCCCGTACACATTGCTCTGCGACGAGAAGCGCGTGAAGCTGTCCTCGCGCAGCGGGCAAGGCACCGCAGCCATAGCCGCCTCCCCCATCACGCCCTTCAGACACTCATTCTCTCCGCTGCCCGCACTGTGACCCGCCCTTTCCCATCCAAGGCTCTCGAAGCCACCAGAATAGCTCGGTGCCCGCCCGTCGCACAGACTGACGGCGTAGAGAAGCCGCCGTCGCTTCCCTTTACTAAGATGGCGGCCAGGTGGACTGCCCGGACCGCCCAAGCGAGTTTGCCCCACTGCGCCTGCGCGCTCATCTCATTTCCAGTCAGGCCCCAGGAAGGGGCTGTGAGCGGTGACTGTGACCAGAGATGCGAGGTGGTGGCCCATAGTTCCTCGCAATATGCTGTGTGGAAAGCCAATAATAATCATAAAATGTCATATTTCCCTTACGTACAGGAACTACTCTAATCGCGATCCATCTAACAGTTTATTCAAAACTCACAAGCAGGTTGAAATAAGTACTCTTAAATTCATTTTACAGGTGAAGGAGATGAAGCACGGAGAGGTAAAGTAACTTGCCTAAGAGCGCAGCTAGTAAGCAGCAGTCAATATTGGAATTCAAATAGTTCATTACTTTAATATCACCTTTAAAATCGTGAAATGTTCCTCTTACCCCAAGGAAAAAAGATCCAGTTGCCTATTCTGGCATATGATAACCACCTACTTTATTATTATTATTTTTTAATATTAGCTTTTATTTATTTATTTATTTTGGTCGGGGCTGGGTTTGAACCTGCCACCTCTGGCATATGGGGCCAGCGCCCTACTCCTTTGAGCCACAGGTGCCGCCCCCACCTACTTTATTTTGGCCCAGATTATCTTATTGATTCCTCACATTCACTCTATAGGGCCTATTGTTAAGCCACCCCACCCCACTCCTGCACCCACACCCAATGTACTGAGCTTTTCTCATGTACCAGGATATCCTTTACAAATTTATCTCACTAAATCTTTGTAAGAGCTCTACAAAGAGGTTTTACAGAGGATGAAACGGGTCAGGGACAGTAAGTCCCTTGATTGACAGTAAATGGTGGGGACAGATATTTCAGATATTACACTTGTCTCTAGAACACGAAAATTTGGAGATTCTGCACATCTGTGTACAATTTCCATTAGACATATAGGTCAGCCAACCGTCCAAGCTACCTTGAGTAATCTCTCCTCCATGCAGAAAGAGAACAAAACATATACACACACCCCAGTGGCAAGCTCTGTGAAGGCAGCCACTGATCTTCCCTGGCCTCAGCCAGATCTTGAACAGCTGGACCACAAGGCCTGACACAAAGCAGGTATTCAGTAAATGTGTCAAAAATCCCAACTATGTGCCAGACCCTTTGCTAAGTACTTGGGACATTGACACATAAGAAAAGGCAAATGGCACGTTCTCTAGGAAAACTGGATATGGAGGATGGTAAAAAGGAACAAGTGTGTGATGAAGTCTGGATTTGGTGAAGAAAACCTCCCAAGAGCAGGTCACGGTCTATGTTCGCAGGGCCTGGCAAAATGGAACGTGGCTCTAGTTCTGTCACTTCTGAGGTAGTCAGAAGTTTAGGCTTCTACCCTTCATAAACCACATTCACTTAATATTTGTTGAGTGAATAAGTGAATGAATGTATGGGTAGAGAATAGGAATCATCCTGTTCAGGTTTCCAACCCTAGCTGCACAGCTGACCCACCTAGAAAGCTGTAAGAAAAATAAATGAAAAAAATAAAATTTGACTAGGAACCTCAATTAATCCACAATCAGAGTGAGTAAGATCCAAGCTTGTATACTTCTAATGATTTTAAAAAGCATAGCCAGGGCACAGAATTGCTGATTTTGGTCACCAATGGCAGAAACAGGTTCTCCCGCTAACCTTCAGCCAAGCACCCATGGCAGATACTGGCAGTTAGTCTGGCTCACAGGAGTCTTCAGTGAGCCCTGGGCAGACATTATCAACTGACTAGAGCTATGCAGGGAACTGAAGCAAACAAGGTGTCAGGGATAGGCTGCTTTATCAGTCCTGGGAAGGGAACCCGACCTCGCCCACACTTCCTCCAGGCCCACAAAGCTACAGCACTTCTGCAGGAGTTGTCCCTGTTTTCCCCAGCAGCTCCTGCTCTGTGTCATGCTATCCCACCATGCTGTGACACCCTGCCTTCCTCTGGCACTGAGCCTCCTCTAGCCTGTCTAGTCCTCCACAGTGATGGGCTCAGTCCAGGGTTGGTTCTTACCTACCTTTAACAGGCAAAGGATCCTGTCATCTCCTCTCCCACTCCCCAGACATACTTGAGTAACGTGCTCTGCCCACCAAAGTCACATCCCTCCCTGGTCCTGTGACAGATGGAACACCTGTCACCAGCGCATTCAGACTTCCTTCCTTCCTTCCAGGGAAATGTGGACACGGGGTGAGGACAAGGGACCCAGTAGGCCTCTTCTACTCCCTTCCGACCAGAGCAGTTCCGACAACTGCTGTATTCAATCACCTGGACAGCTCCAAGGGGTGTAATCACCAGCCTTTGTCCCAGTGGAGGAAACCAAGGCCCCCAGATTATAAGGGCCCAGAGAACACTAGATCAAGATTGTTGTTCTGGGACTCCAAGCCCAACATCCCAGGGTTCCCCTTCCTTAGAACCCAACCCATCCTGGGGGCAAAACTGTCTGAGGATGCATGCCTTCCACTTCCCCACAGAGCACACCCAGAGGGAGGATCCACCCAAGGAGGGGATCAAGAGGGGCAAGAGGACAGGTCACCAGCACTGAGGGTTGAGGTGGGTAGAATAGGTGAGGAGAAAGAGAGACTCATGCAAAAGTGTTGTTTTTTATTTTTCTTGGGCCAGCTGCAGCCTCCAACTGACAAAACCTCAAAGCGTTAGGGAAGGAGCAGGCACAGGAGTGGGGGTGGAGCTGATACCCTGAAACCCGGGCCCCAGGATCTAACCTGAGAGGTTGGAGCTATGGGAGGCTGGGGGGAGAGAAGGGGTTCATCCCCAGGGGAGAATAAGTCTCAGTGGCTATATGTGCTCAGAGCTTGGCTAGGGGACAAAAGTGGGAGAGAGAGAAACCAGCCTCATGACTCAGCTGGTCAGGAGATGGGGTTCCAGATGCTACCCCAAACCCTGGCAGCACCCACAGCAAATACGTTTGTATCAAAGATTCTGAACAGCTGGTTTCCTTGGGGTAAAGAAAGGTACCTTTGGGGGCTTAAATAAATGGGCAGGGGGCAAGGGATGTAGCAAGAACAGAGGGTGACTGTCCGGCCAGCAGGCCCTGGCCTCTGGCACCCCTGCAGCAAGGCCTGCTACCGCCTGCCATGGCCTGCAAGACTCCCTGGGTGGGGAGAGGGAGGGAAGATCTCGCAGCCAGTCTCAGGCCCCACCTCTCTCTGAGCAGACGCCACAGAAGACAGGCGCCAAGGGTGGGGGGTTAGCGCAGATCCTCCTCGTCCCCCTGGATCGTCTTCTTGATGCGCAGCAGCATGGTGGTGAGCCACTGGTCCAGTCGCGAGATGGAGTCGTACTCCTTTACCTGCAGGCACATCCAGCTGATGGGGTAGCCCCAGTCCCTCCCTGTCCCTAACTCTGGAGCCCAAGGTCTCTACTGCCAACATTGTCAAGATGTGACCTTGTCATTCTTGGTCTCTGGGAGGGGATAAGGGCAGGCCAGTGGCCCCAAACCCCTGCCAGAGTAGCTCCCTTTGTCTGTCTTCACTATTCTGGTCATAACATTTCCCTTGAGGAGAAAGAAAAAGATTCTGTGGCTTGAAAAGAAAAAAAAAAGATCTAATAGCTGAGTGTGGTGGCAGGTGCTTATAGTCCCAGCTAATCAGGAGGCTGAGGCAGGAGGATGGCTTGAGCCCAGGAGGTCAAGGCCAGACTGGGCAACATGGCAAGGCTCTGTCTCTCTCTCTCTCACACACACACACACAAGTCCAGCCTCCTTGTTTTATGAGTGAGAGACTAAGACCTAGAGAGGACCTAAGTGACCTGGGGAAAGGGGAGTCCAAGAAGCACACCCTGCTGAAGCTCCCCCTCCCCCTGTGCTGAGCCTCCCACCTATGGCCTGGGGCAGGAAGAACTGGATGGCACTTGGTGTCTGTTTTCATTTAGGGGTTTAAATTCCTTAGGGTCACCCAGGGAGAGATAAACTTGACATATGCCATCCAGAGAACTGAATTAGAACCTGAGCTGACACAGGGAGTTCAGCACATTCGGAACAGAGGAAGGAAAAGAAGAAATGTATATATATCTGTGTGGGGCATTTTCTCTGAGAGAGAATTCAGTGCCTCTCCCTGTCCCCTCAGCTCCACTTTCCTCCTCACCTCTACCCTTCCCTATCTGCTCCTCCTGGGGTCACCCAAGACACCCTGGGGGACTTTGAGTGGTGCAAAGACTTAGTTTTCAGGGGCAGACAGATGTGCGTCTGAGTCCCAGCTACATCCCCACAAGGCCAGGGCCATATTTCCTCCTCAATCTCAGTGCCATCCTCTATAAAGTGGAGATAACACTCCCTGTACCTCTTGGGGCTACTTGTGAGGATTCTGGGGTGACTGGAAAAAAGAGTTCACAGCTAAGTACCTAGGGCCACAGATGAAAAAGGTGAATTTCATGGGAGACTATGTCTGAGAAAGACAGCCCACCTGGGGAACCCATCTTCCCAAGAGGGACCTGGCCACCCATGCCAGCCACTCACCGACTCAGTGTAGCTGTCTACATTTTGCTCCTCATGGGCTTCCAGCAACTTCTGTAAGCAAATGGCAGGAAGGGGTCAGGGGGCCAGGCTGGCCTGGATTAGATTCAAACACATGCTATCTGAGTGCATTAAATAAGGGATTAGGGTAGGGGGGTGTTCCCACACTAAGAGGGAAAAAGGGGCATGCGCCAATCCTTTCATCCCACTCATCAAAAAGGCTCATGCTCAGGGTAACCTCACTGACACAGAGCATCAGCAGAGAGGTATATGTCACCATCAACCCCCAGCTCTGTGACTGGCTCTACCACTGCCTGAGTTATGCTTTTCTCATCTAGAAAATGGAGACCCAAATTGCAGAAGAAAGAAAAGAAAACAAAAACACAAACCCTTTGTGAACCACTGGATTAATCTTGATGATTCTCCCACCTGGACCTTAAGACTCTAGATTCCCCATCCCTGGGCCCCGCCACCCCTCTCCAGTG